TAACCTTCTTCACTCTAATTTGAAATTAATCTACATACTGCAAAGGTAAATTGAGAAATCAATACATTTTGTCATTCAGAAAAAACACTAATGAGCATTCAGTAAAAATTATTTCCTAATAAAACAACCCGCCTCCTAAGATCTCAATTTCATGACCAGTAGTCCCCAAGTGGCCTCTTGATCTCCTTCAAACTACAGTGTAATCAAGCTAGCTCTCGTGCTTTTATTATTCTAGCAATATTTTTTCATAAAATAGTGTTGCTAGATCATATATATGAAGAAGTAAGCAAGAAAATTATACTGCTAAATTTTTAAAAAAACTAATCATTTGAAGATATTTGTGACAACTATAACAAAATAGTAGTTTGTTAAATGGGTTTTTATTTTCTCAAGGACATTGTTTTTACCTTTATATTTATTAAGAAATAGCAGATTCCTAATTAGGATTAGAATCAGGTGCTGTTTCCTTCTTGACACTTCTTATAATCTTTTATAGAATAATAATAATAATAATAATAATAATAATAATAATAATAATAATAATAATAATAATAATAATAATAATAACAACAACAACAGCAGCAGCAGCAGCAGCAGCAGCAGCAGCAATAATAATACAAACTAATGCTATGAAAGCAAAGATACAAAAATCCACTGACAATCCAAATTGCCGACTTTTGCAATGACAAAGTTGAAACTGTTTCACATCTAATCTGTGAGTGCAGCAAAATCGCGCAAACTGATTACAAAGCTAGACATGACCGAGTTGCTAAATTAATCCACTGGGCATTGTGTAAAAAATACGACTTGCCTGTGTCCGAAAAGTCGTGAGAACATAGGGTGGAAAAAGTTGTTGAGAATGAGAGGGTGAAGATCTTGTGGGACTTTTGAATACAGACAGATCGCCATTTGGAACACAACACGCCAGATATCACAGTTGTAGAGAATCGAAGCATACAGCTGATTGATATTGCTGTACCAGGAGATGCCAGAGTCGAAGAAAAAGAACTGGGAAAAATTACGAAATATCACGACCTGGCCATCGAAACTGCACGATTATGGATGAAACATGTAACAGTGATACCCATTGTCATCGGGGCATTGGGAATTATGTCCAAAAACTTTGCAAAATACATCAAGAACCTGCAGCTTCCTGCAATAACTCCAGCAATGTTACAAAAAACTGTGCTACTCGGAACATCTTACATTTTAAGGAGGTACCTGGTTGACCCCTAGGATGCTGGTAGCAACCCGTGTTAAACATCAGCGCCAGGCAATTTCAATGTTCAGTTGACTGAGGTTCATGTTTAATGAATAAAAGATAATAATAAAGTTGGAAGGGACCTTGGAGGTCATCTAGTCCAACCCTCTGCTCAGGCAAGAAACCCTATACCATTTCAGACAAATAACTGTCTAGTCTCTTCTTTAAAACTTCCAGTGTTGGAGCATTCACTGCTTCTGGAGGCAGATTGCTCCACTGATTAATTGTTTTAATTGTCAGGAAATTTCTCCTTAGTTCTAGGTTGCTTCTCTCTTTGGTTAGTTTCCATCCATTGCTTCTTGTCCTGCCTTCAGGTGCCTTGGAGAATAGTTTGACTCCCTCTTCTTTGTGGCAACCCCTACCATATTGGAACACTGCTATCACGTCACCCCTCGTCCCTCTCTTCATTAAACTAGACATACCCAATTCCAGCAACCGTTCCTTATATGTTTTAGTCTCCAGTCCCCTAATCATCTTTATTGCTCTTCTCTGTACTCTTTCTAGATGTTGTACTCAACATCTTTTTTACATCGTGATAACCAAAACTGGATGCAGTATTCCAAGTGAGGCCTTACCAAAGCATTGTAAAGTGGTATTAATACTTCATGTGATCTTGAAGTTAATGCAGCCTAGCACTGTGTTGGCTTTTTTGGCAGCTGTAGCACACTACTGGTTCATATTTAAGTGATTGTCCTCTAGGACTCCAAGATCCTTTTCACAGTTACTACTATTGAACAAGATATGACCTATACTATACCTGTGCATTTGGTTTTTCTTGCCTAAATGTAGAACCTTACTTTTTCACGACTGAATTTCATTTTGTTAGATAGCACCCAATGTTCAAGTCTGTCAAGATTTCTTCTGTTTCTTAAGCCTATCTTCTGGAGTGTTGACTATTCCTGCTGGTAAAAGTAATAGAATTGAAATTATATTAATAGAACTGAAATTATATTAAAAGAATTGAAATGGAAATGAGCTGGTCACATAACAAGAAGAACTAGTGGCAGGTGGACCTAGGCCAGTGGTTCTCAACCTGTGGGTCGGGACCCCATTTGGGGTCGATCGACCATTTCACGGGGGTTACCAAGCAAGGCTGTCCACCATTTTTTTTGTCCGCCATTTTTTTCCCCTTTTCCAGCGGGTGCCTTACCTCGCTTGGGCTGGGCCAGCTGGTGGTCGGCCTGCTCCGTCTCTGCCGCTTGCCAGCTACGCCTCGGCCAGCACAGGGGGCGGAACCACGCATGTGTGGCGCTCCCGGGCAGGGAAAGTCCTCAACTTACGACCGGTTTAGTCCTCAACTTACGACCGGTTTAGTCCTCGACTTACGACCGGTTGGGGTCGCGGCATTAAAAACCACTGAGAACCACGGTCGCGGCATTAAAAACCACTGAGAACCACTGACCTAGGCAGTCATAGAATGGATCCCACTCAGTGATGGGATTCAAATAATTTAACAACCAGTTCTCTTAGCCACAACCCCAGCTAATACTTGGTGGCCTTGTCCCCTTTCCCGTAAGCACCAATCGGGAAATTAGAGAGATGAAGCACCACCTAGTTTTTGCTGAGTGACGTGATCAAAGGCACTGCGTCTCCATTTGGTTTCCGTCGCTCCTCTCTTGGACATTTGGGGAGGGTTGTTTTTTTTCCCCGCCTGGAAGAAAGTTGAACAAAAATCAGACATGTTCCAGAAAACACAGATTTATCATAACCGGTTGGCCGAACTCAACAAAAAATTAGGTATCAGTTTTGCTGAACCGGTGCGAACCGGCTGAATCCCATCACTGATCCCCACTTGATAAAAAGTGTCCATGAAAGAGACAAGATGGATTGATGACATCAGCAAGTATTGCGGGCGCAATTGACAAAAGAAAGCTCAGGACCGTATTGGTTGGAAACATGCGGAAGAGGCCTTCATCCTGCAATGCATAGACCAGCAGTTCTCAACCTATGGGTCGCGACCCCATTTGGGGTTGATCGACCATTTCACAGGGGTCGCCAAGCAAGGCTGTCCGCCATTTTTTCCCCCTTTTCCGGTGGGTGCCTTACCTCCCTTGAGCTGGGCCAGCTGGTGGTCGGCCTGCTCCGTCTCTGCCGCTTGCCAGCTACGCCTCAGCCGGCGCAGGGGGCAGAACCACGCATACGTGGCGCTCCTGGGCAGGGAAAGTCCTTGACTTACGACCGGTTGGGTAGTCCTCGACTTACGACCGGTTTAGTCCTCGAGTTACGACCGGTTTAGTCCTCGAGTTACGACCGGTTTAGTCCTCGACTTATGACCGGTTTAGTCCTCGACTTACGACCAGTTGGGGGGGGCGCGGCATTAAAAAGGCTGAGAACCACTGGGATAGACAATGGCTAGAATGATGATGATGATGATGATGATGATGATGATGATGAAACTTTTACACATGGGAAATTTAAATTTTCCTTTGTCATGTGCTATGAGCCTAACTCTGAGCCTAACTCTTATCAGTAATTACAAGGTATACCATCCTCATGTTATACATGTAGTTTGTCCTTAAAACCTAAAATATTAAAGAAGAGTAATCTGGAGAAAGTAGAAAGACATTAAATATAAGGCCAATTTTCAAACTGACATCTCTACTAGTAGATTACCAATGTTCTGCCATACACTAAAGACGTCCTTTATTAATGAAATTGGCATTCAACCATCCCTGATTCAGCAAAACCATTTCAGTCCATTGACCGGGTTCACACATCACAGCAATGTCCCTGCCATGCAAGAATGATGACAAAACAATCAGTATAATGCAATACACTTAACAAAGAATCCTCTGTTTGATGAAATGCTTTTTATGATGAAAAGATACATATTTAGCATTTTTTGACGTGCTACCCCACTGACTTGTAAAACAGAATATTTCAATGCTTTAGTTTTCTTGTAAATTATCATGTCTACTATCATAAATTATCATGTGTACTGTCATAAAACTCTGCAGGTTTAGAATCATTGCCAGTTTTTTTTTCACAAGTAAAAATAACAGTTTAGGAGTTCCAGATACTGCTAGTGCATCTGGTGCAAATTCTGTAATCAAAAGATATTTAGCTGAATATACCGTTCAGCAGCTTCAGGAGTGCAAATGTTTTGGAAGGCTGGTTAAAAATAATGTGACCTAAAGTATTAGCATCATTTCTGTCCATTAATTTAACCAGAAAGGATTTAGTTATGATTCTCAATTTCCCTGTGGTTGTTCCAGAGTGTCAATTTCCCATGAGAAATCAAGCTTCGTTTAAAAACAAAACACAAAAAATCTTTTAACTTGCTGTTTCTTCCTTTCCTCTCTTATCTGACAATTTTGGGATACAAAAATGGCAGAATATTCTCCAGAATCATTGGTTTTGAACATTTAGAATTCTGCTATGATCTAATAGTCTAGTTATAATAGGGACAAATCAGATGGAATCCTAATCATGTAATCTGGTTTCTTTTTAGAAGGTATTGTAATTGGATGATGGCAAAACTTGATGGCACATCTTTCTTATACTTACAATTACATGGAAACAAAAGATGGAGGGTTTGCTTTTTTTAATCACAGCCTCTATTAAATGAACAATTATAGATCACAATTCTTAAGATCTTTAGGAATAAAAAATAACCTAATATGTTTCTGTGAAAATTATGAGTGCCTTGGACAATAATAGTGACATTATGGAAGAGTGAAGCAGTTTTTTAACTTCTAACTTGGGGTGGGGAAATTTTTCTCTTTCTCCTTTACAGAAAATGAACAATCAATATTTTCGCTATGAAGTCCTTGCCTGTGAGACTGGTGAGCTGAAAATCTTCTGGGAAAAAACCATTGAGAAGCAAACTCAACATCTGAAAGCTGAGAAAGACCGTCTACAGAGAAGTGCATTGACTAAGTGAGTACATAGTTGACCATTTGTGCTTGATTTTGTTTGTTTGTAAATTTCATAAACAATATACGCAGCAGGTATGTGAGAATGGGACCAGGCAATTTCTGACTTTAGAGAAAGAAAAGATGGCACCACATTCTCCACAATGGCAATATGGCAAGAGTTTTCAGGCACAGCAGTGTTCTCCAATGGAGAAGAAGATCTGGACTTTTTCTTTCTTTCTTTCTTTCTTTCTTTCTTTCTTTCTTTCTTTCTTTCTTTCTTTCTTTCTTTCTCCTTTAAGTCCATTTTTGACCCCTGGCAATTACCTGGACTAGTTCCTGCAGTATTTTTGAAAAGGTTTTTGAAGTAATTTGCCATTGCCTGCTTCCTAAGGATGAAAGAGAGTGACTAATTTCGCTTCGTGTCTAAGGTGGAACTAGAACTCATGGTCTCCCAGTCTCTTGCCTGATGCCTTAACCACTACAACAAACTCCCTTATATTCTATCTAAGATGATATAACCAGTTGAGAGAAGCAAGAATTGACTGGAAAAATATAGGAGTAGAAAGGTTTTAAGGGAAATTTTAAAAATCAGTTGTAGCTAGCAGCCCAGCCCTTCCTGGTTCTGGGAAATTAAAATAGAAAGAATGTATTCTCCATTGGTTTGGCCAAAGCAAGGCTCCTGCTGGTTAAGCAATGCCTATGCTAACCAACTGCCTTTTTTCCAAACAGACTCAGAGACGAATGGAAAGCAATGCTAGAAAAAAGATTAAAAATGATAAAAGAACATGAAGAAAAGAAAGAAGTCCCTCAATGAAGAAAAAGCACAGGTTTATATGCACTGATTGGAAAATGGCTGAAATTGAAAGAAGAAAATTTGCACTGAGGCAAAGCTGTAGTGTTTGGCTTGCATTTGCTTAAAACGACTTTCCAGAACTGAATACTCTCCAGATATTTTGGACCACAACCCCCAGAGCTCCCGGTCAACATGATAGCTGTAACACACCTGGAGGCCACCAGTTTAGGGGAAGAATAATTTAAAAACAATCCTGAATTTATGCTGGAAATATATGTAATATAAAGTAAGGTTTCCTGCAAGAGAAGTTCAGTTCCTAGTGATCTCATAAATATGTTTATGAGTTTTCTTGGTAGCAATACAGCTGTTTGCCCTTGACTTTTTCCAAGATTTTCTCTTGACTCCCCAATCTAGGCTCCAGTCCTGAGAGACAGGAAGGGAGGGAGGGAGGGAGAGAGAGGGGGGGGCTTATATTGCAGTTTGAGTTGCTCTTCAATTAAAATACTTCTCTGCTTTTTTCTTATTCACCACTTTGTTGGAGTCTAGTGTAATGTATTAACTTTTAGAATTATACAGTTTTTTATCAATTTATAATTTTGTATATTCCCCTAGCATGCCTTGAGATTGAAAGGCAACTGATAAATATTATTAAAAACATAATGTTTGCTTTTGGAACATTAAATATATCCTCTGTTCTCCTATTCTTTATTCTTGGAAGGGAAGTATATCCACACACCTCTTGCATTATTATTGTTAACATTATTATTTTGACATTGGGAGATATCACCCTCCCAATAACAAGAGGTGCCACAGAAGTAAGTCCATCTAGTCTTCCTAGACTCTAGATGTGCCAGCTATCCACTAAGACTGATAAATTCCTTAAATCAGTTTCAATGCAAAGGTATCTATAAAATAAAGCAAACTAATTCCAGGAACAAAAAAAAATGAAGAAAAGACATTTCTCTGTCTTTCCCATATTGCTAAGTTCATGGTGGCAGGACTGGAGAGTTTATAAAGTTCTGTAAAACTGCAACCTTTCACACAATTACACAATGTTGCCAGCAACATTATTTCCATGTAGAATTGCACTATAACTAAATCAAACACCATTGCTTTCACATATTGCAAAAAATATCTTTTGTTGCAAAAGATAAGCTGGTGGCCTGTTCCATTCCATTTACAGAGTTCAATATTATTTTAACACTCACATGGGCTGCAATTTTCCATTATTTGTATAAGTACAGATAGTCCTTGACTTACAAACATTCGCTTAGTGCACGGGTCTTCAAACTTGGTCCTTTTATGACTTGTGGACTTCAACTCCCAGAATTCCTCAGCCAATGTGCCTGGCTGAGGAATTCTGGGAGTTGAAGTCCACAAGTCATAAAAGGGCCAAGTTTAAAGACCCCTGGTTTAGTGAGTGTTCAAAGTTACAATGACATTGAAAAAGTGACTTACAACCAGGCCTTGCACTTACAGTACAGCATCCCCACGATCACATGATCAAAATTCAGGGTCTTGGAAAATGACCTGATTTTATGATATTTGCAACATCCTGGAGTCATGGGATATCCAGTTGTGACCTTCCCAAGAAAAGTCATTGGGGGAAGCCGGATTTGCTTAATGACTACATGATTCACTTAGCAACTGCAATGATTCACTTAACAACTATGGCAAAAAAAAGGTTATAAAATCAGTTGTGACTCATTTAACATGCCTTCTTAGGTCCCATTTAATAATAATAATAATAATAATAATAATAATAATAATAATAATAATAATAATAATAATAATAATAATAATAAAAAGTTGGAAGGGACCTTGGAGGTCATCTAGTCCAACCCTCTGCTCAGGCAGGAAACCCTATATCAGTGGTGGCGAACCTATGGCATGCGTGCCAGAGGCGGCACTCGGAACCCTCTCTGTGGGCACGCGCGCCGTTGCCCCAGCCCCACTTCCCCCCATGGACCCCTCCTCACCAGCAGCCCCCTGGAGGAGAGTCACCCCCGGGCATGGCCTGCACGGAGCAGCGCAGCCAAGGACATAGCCAGGCAGCAGGGACAAGACTCCCCCCTCGTGCCTCATAGCGTGCAGATGATACTGCGGGGTGTGGGCGGAGAGTGTGGCTACCATGGTGCTACAGGGCTGCCTGGGCGATCTGCTGCAGCGGGCCATGGAGGCGGTCTTGCAGGTGGGCAGGGCAGGGGATGGGTAGGGGTGGAGCAGGCAGGATGGGAGGCGGAGGGGTCAGGGGGCGGTTTTTGGGCACTCGGTCTCTAAAAGGTTCGCCATCACTGCCCTATACCATTTCAGACAAATAGCTGTCCAGTCTCTTCTTAAAAAGTTCCAGTGTTGGAGCATTAACCGCTTTCTGTTATAAGTCAAACACTACCTGTATCTAACTAGTTTTAGAAACATAGGAATAACCAGAAGCTTCAGGATAACAGATGAGTGGATTCCACTGCAGTGATACTGGGCACAATTGCATGAACATGTCCTATAGTAAATATTTTATTTAATGTTAAAATATTAAAAAAGAAAAATGGTTGCATGCAAAAACTCATAAAACACAGGTTTTTGAATTATACGGTTAAAAACCACAAAGGTTTTTAAAGGACTACTTCGACCAAAATAATATACGTTGAGAAAATAGTATTAATTATCGTAAGATCAAAAACTTTGTTATACATTTATGTCTTTACAATATTTTATTTAAACACGAATTTTATTGACTGAATGTAATGATCGTCAGGTATAAGACTTTACTAATAAATAACACCACACTATTGTGCCATACAATGCTAAGTATTTGCAGATCAGTGGGAAATATGATCCTTGTGATATACATATTTGAATGTTCTTTTCATTTAGCCGATTCAAACTGTAACTAGGAGACCATGATTCCTAGATCAATAAGGGTATATATGTCTTGTATCAGGTTTATAGGATTGAAAAACCCAAAAGCAAATTTGGCTAAGGAACATACTAATTCTCCTTCCAAGTGGTTGTAATACTTTCCCATTCCAACCACGCTTAAAAAAATATAAATGGAACCCACATATTACATGAAATAATGAAATGAAACACTATGTTCAGACCTTTAAAATAATTTATGCTTTCCTCTGTAAAAAAAAAGGCCTTCTCTATAGACTTAGCTTTTCATAATCAAAGGCATTAGCTAAATAAATAATGTGAAGCCAAGTTACTGTCTTAGATCTTTGATGCCTTGTGATAGTTTTACTGTCTTTTAAAAAAAACATGTTTTATATGCATAAGAAAATCAAGAGAAGAGAGAATGGAAAAAGACAAAGAGTTAGGAAAAACTTTGTTCAAAGTACATTTTTAAATGATTCACACAGATATGTGAACAGTATTATCAGCTGTTCTCTAATGAGGTATTGTTAGAGGATGGTTCTCAATTCTGACATCATTAATACAATCTACTGAATTTGGTTCTACAACATTAGAAGGTATATGCCAGCTTTTTCCAGTTTTGTGCCTTCCTGATTGCCAAATCCCATAAAATGGTTACAGGCTCAATTTTTTTCTCATGTTCTCCTGGCACTGCCTTCAACTTATCCTCAGTCACTTTTAGACACCTGGTTTTAATGTTTTTCACTGCTTCCAGAATAATTGCCAATGGGTACATCTAGAAAACTTCATCAACAGTGTGGTTGATTATACAACCAGGAGTAATGATCTGCTTAAGTTCTGTAAGTCACAATTAGCATGACTGTTTTCCTCCTGACTCTGCATACTGTTCACCATAGCCAGTTTGGCTTCTATTGCAAGAGACATCAGATATTGGCTTCTGCAGAGTTATCTAACAGATAGTGCCCGGGTCCCCAACCCCCGGTCTGTGGACTGGTACCGGGCTGCGGCATGCCAGCAACCAGTCCGCACAAAAAAGCAAAGCCACATCCATGGGATGCAGGCAGGACACAAAACCACGCACTCTCCGGTCCATGGAAAAACCTTTCTCCGTGGAACCGGTCCCTGGTACCCAAAAGGTTGAGGACCTCTGACAGAGTGTTTGATGGCCAGTTTCCAAAATATTTATCAGGTCTTACACAAATTCCTTATGGATGTCTACTCTTTGGGGAAAAAGAGTACTGTTTAAAAAAAAACCCCAGGGCTAAGCATGAGTCTTCAGAAGATGGTCAACTGAAACTAGGAAAGAGAGCTAACTCTACCAATCTTTGCTGCTAGTTCTGATACCAGTGAGTGTGTACTGACTTTGGACAGCCTTCTTACTAGTTTTATTTCTTTGTGGTTGATAGCATTTTGCCACCTCTCAGAATGTTACATGTGCTGCTGGCTGTGACTGTTTATTCACACTAGTGCCATTTCTTTCCAGAACTAGTTGAGGACATCATGGATCACTCCCTCCCAGTTCTTCCTCACCTATCCACACATATAACCTGCCAGCCAAACTATTTTTTTAACAATGGTTTAGCGCTTCTTCAGAAAAGCACTGAATCAATGTTTGGAAAGAGTCCAAACTAACAGGTAACAGGCATGGAACAACTCCATGTCTTCAATCTGTTAGTTGGTGACAGTAAGAGTTGACTAAACTAGCTGTTCAAAGCAGTTGCCTCTTTTCACCGATCTTTGCCCCAGCACATGTTAAAGAGATTGATTGATGGCATTCAGTGGTAAGGGATAAAAAAATAGGAGAATCTGCCAATAGCTTTCTTTAACTTGTTCCACATTTCAAAAACTAAGAAATAAAAACACTATCACCAATCAGCCTTTTTACAGAGGCAGAATTGTGAATATCAGTGAGTGAAATGTAGTTGATACCGTTTTTCTTTTGCTTAGAGTGGAGGATAAGATTGAAATGAAGTTATCAGTTTTATTCCCTTTATTACTGGCGCTCCTTGAGGAAAAAGCAGGATATAAATCCAATAATGTTTTTATTTATTCATACAACAAACAAGTTGTTTGTTCCCTTACATGCATATGCCTTCAAAATATGAACA